ATTTTTTTTATTGCTTCTGCATTTGGGATTCATTATCGGATCGATTTTCCAGTTACTCGTTGGCGCACTGAGTTCTCCAGGATTTGGGCCATCACAAAAAATAAGCTTAATCCTCTATTTATAGATGACTCTTATGATCCCCAAAATGGTTAGACCATGTACACAATGCGATACCCCTCGGATCCGAGACACGGGTTGATCAGGCCCAAGCCCAAACCCGAGGGAAATATCAAACAATTAATATGTAATACGAACACAGATGACAAAAAGAATAATATAGATAGAATAAAGCTGAAAGAAATAATAATAATAAAATCCTCCATGTGTAACTGAAAATTTAAACTCCAATCCTCCAAAACTTCAAGGTTACAACTTGGGAATCCAACTAGTGGACCCCTATTAAACATCCAAACGGAAGATAAAACAACTGTAATAAACGTCCAGAAATAAAACTACGGAGAGAGCCCTACATCGTCGGAAGAGTGAATAGAGACCTCTGCTCAGCACAAACACGTCTAAGCCTGGAACTGTCGTGTACCTGAAAAATAGAAGTGGGTCAGGCCCATGCATAAGTTCTATACTACTACAATCCAAACAGAGGCCCGATACGCATGTACATTCTAAACAATTTAACAATAACTAATAGTCCGTAAGTGTATATATATATATGGTCACACTAAAGGACTCTCACTGGACTACAGGCCGGTCTCAACCTGAATAGAGGTAACATGCTAAAAACGCACACGAAGTGGGCATGTGTACCTAAACCTAAACAGGGTACACCTCTAACCATCGTATCCAGCTATGCATCCCAATGCATATACGCTCCCTAACCGTCGATCCTGAGACTCAAGCTCATATCGAGGTACCATAACAATATATTTAAAATCCATCCTGAATCCTAGTAATGCCGCTCAACTAGTTGTTGCCATGACACTACAATCAATAGGACTTAACTTTTAGTTAATCCAATTCTTAATCCAGAGTCGGTAGGTTTTGGTATTTTGAATCCAAACCGTCCCTAGTATACCACCATCCCATACCGGTGTATACAATCCAATCATCCAACAGTTGATAATACAGACAACTACCATAACTATCAACTCAATCCATATCTCCCTTTCTGTTACTAACAGTCATATTGTAAGCATCAATAAACACAACCAACCATATCCATAAACAGGCTCAGTTTTATATCCATTGCTGATACTATCAATTAAACACAGTCAAACTATTTTTCTACACATGCTCAGTTTACAGTGTTCCACAAAATCTGATCTAGTGCTAAGTTTAAATTTTATTAGCATCCAACATCCAGCAGTTGGTAATACAATCAGTTAAGATAACCATTAACTATGTCCATTCCTCTACTAAGTGATACTAGCAGTGGTAAGATAAGCATCAACAACAGAAACCACAGTATCTATATAACATGCTTAATTTAAGTTATTTTACAAAATTCCCTTTAGTGCCAAGTTTAAGACTTATTCTCATTCAACTCTAACACATCCCAGAAGAGTATAATCCAGATACATGCTCAGGTTATAGAGTTTAACAAGTTCCAGTTATAACATCTGTCTCACAAGATTTCTATTGCAGAGAGAGTTAAACAATACTAGCTTCACAGAATTAAACATAGTTTAAATACCTGATTAAGTCCCTACTGTCCAAGCTAATCTAAGCAAGTAGGCTTAATTAACACCACAACAGAAACTTTAATCTAACCAAATATATCAATTAGACCCTCCATAATCACCCTGCACTCAACTGAATACTCCAGAAACAACTACAGCATGCAAAACTTACTGGAGAACGAAGAAAAAATAAAAATTCACCAAAGGAGACGTCTCCAAAAAGTGGAGCCGCCTCCTTTAGACCTTGGAGCCGGCTCCATTTTTTGGAGCAGCCTCCACCTAAAAAGGGAGCCGGCTCCCTCCCAGGGAGAGCCGGCTTTCTCCCTCTCTGTCTCGTCTCTTTGCCCTCTATCTTCGTTTTTACGCCTCTGCTACCTCACGCCATGATTTTCGGAGACTGTAACCCACTCCCAGTACATCCCAGTTCATGCTTAAGTCCAGTTAACATTACACACATTGCTTTAAACAGAGATTCATGCAAGCAAACAATAGGTTCTTAACAGTTTTACAAAGCGTGAAAACTTACAGACCAGTTTCGGTTTAAGCACAAACAAAGAATGTTTTAATTGATCTGATTAATCCTAAAATTATTCAAGAATGCAAAGAACACGAAACCTAAGGGAGAGAGTGAGGATAGAACTTGCCTTACGCCGACGTTCGCCTTAATTTGCCGTCGAATCCTTTGTTTGCTCTCTGTTTCCTGCCGTCTTTAAAATTGCTCACAGACTTACTATGTCGTAGTATTATGCTAAAACCCTAGACAAACCCCTTAGATGAGTATTTATAAACCACTATAACCCTAGGCTCAATTAAACTCTAATACAAATCACTCGGCCCATTAAACAACCTAGGTTTAAAACATTGACGGCTATATAAACTATAACCCTAATGTAATACTATCTGTGTGCAACCTTTTATACTGACACGTTAAGATAGAATAAATAAGGAAATTAAATTAAATAACTTCAAGTAAAACAATTAAATAATTAACTTAAGCAATTAATTCAAATAAAGCAAATAATCACAATTAAGTCAAATAATTAAAGCAACTAAACAATTAACCATTAAAAATTTAACTAAATAATTAATGAAATTCCAGGACTATCCTTTTGAAAATTAAAATAAAACAATAATCAAAGAATTTACAGAACACAATTAAACCAATTAAAACATTAAATTGAAAATTAAAATAAAACAATAATCAAAGAATTTACAGAACACAATTAAACCAATTAAAACATTAAATAAAACAATTAATGAAAAGAAAACAATTAAACAAAATACCGAGACCATCCTTTTGAAAATTAGGGGTATTACACACAAGAACACATGTTTGATTGCACCCCGAGCCCCCTTGAGTCAATGAGTAAATTCTGATTTTCGCAGCTGTCAGGCCCACTCGTTCGATCGATGGCTCAATCAATCGAGGTTGTTGAAGATATTAATTTCGGATGAGGACAAAGTGCTCGATCGATCTTCGTTGTTGCTTGATCAATCGAGGTTGTTGGAGATTGATTCCGGATAAGGCCAATAGCTCGATTGATATGGGATAAGACTTCGATCGGTCAGAAGGCTCAATCGTTCAAAGATAAGGTTCAATCGATCGAGTATCTTTAACTTTTCAGCTCAACCTCCTTTTATTCCCACTCCTTGCCAAGACTTCGTTTCACCAACCCAAGGCTTGAACCCTTAACCTCCCTTTGGGAAGTAAGAGGCTGATACCGCTAGGCCATTAGCCCGTTGGTAAAGTGACCCTTAATCAAATTAATGGTTAAATTTCAAGCTGAAAGAGTAAAATAGTATGACTAAAATTCAAAATGGAGCAAAAAATATAGGGTTTTTAGTCAAATAACTGTAGTTAGGGCTAGTCTTGAACCCAATACAGTGGTTATGGACCAGGAGTGGTGATAACAGAATGGCGTGCAACTAAATGTTTAAGCCATGAAAATTTTGTGCAATTTTTTTAATAGAATAGCTTTGGTTGTAAAAGGAATTTTATTTTTACTCAAAAACATATAATTTGTAGATTAGTATGGAAGCAGTAATCTAAGCAACTAATTACAAAAATATTCTTGTTTCTGTTGTGAAGTTGAAGCTTGTTAGAAGATATTATATTTGAAAAATATTATTATAGAAGCCCTTAAATTACTCATTGCCACAATATTTGATATGAGAATATCAATTTTAGCTTATAATATAATATTGATTGGAGTGATTTATGATATTGATTTTAGGAATCTTCCATTAATGTATTTTATATATGTATCATCTCTATTCTTTCACCTATAAATAATGGTGATTATTGTATACAAAGATTAAGAGAGAATATATTATAAAGTGATGTAACCCTTTGGGTTCTTTGTGTCGTGGATGTAGGCCCTAGTGACTGAACCACGTAATATCAATGTGTTCTACTTATTTTATTCATCTATTGACTTCCGTTTTATGCTTTACAGCATAGTATCCAAGCCTGATTTATCTTCCTAGGTTTGGACCCCTATTTTTCGGCATTCCCTTAGTATATGAAATATTGCTAAGGGTTTCTCAGTTCTATTTGTGACTTATTTGGATTGCCGGTTTGTTCAGTAGTATTGTCTTCATCTTTGCCGTGTCTCCAACAGTTTTTATTGACTTGTTTGGACTGCCGGTGTGTTCGATAGCATTATTCGTAACCTTCGCTATGTGTTCGATGTTATGTGAACTTATTTGGGCTACCGGTATGTTCGATAGAATTGTTCTACGCATTCACAGTGTCTCTATCAATTTTATTGTCTTTTTCTAAATCGTTGGAAAATGATCTGTTTCATGATTTGATATGCATGCTGAGCATTATTTCCATACACCCTTCAGCTTGAGGGGGAGCGTTATAAGATGTTATATTTGAAAATATTATTATAAAGCCTCTTAAATTACTCTTTAACAGAATATTTGATATGAGAATATCATAGTAAAGATTTTAGCCAATGATAGAATATTGATTGGAGTGATTTAATTATGGCATTGATTTTAGGAATCTTCCATTATTGTATTTTTCATATTTATTACCTCTATTCTTTCACCTTCACCTATAAATAGAGGTGATCATTATATACAAATATTAAGATAGAATATATTATAAATTGATGTAACCCTTTGGATTATTTGTGTCATGAATGTAGGCCCCAACGGCTAAACCATGTAATATCTATGTATTCTACTTATTTTATTTATCTCTTGACTTCCGTTTTATGCTTTACAACAAAGCTCAGACAAAAATAGGAAACATACAATCATACTAGTGATCATCGAAACAAAGTTTTAACTTTACGCATTTGAAAGATACATCATCTTTGTATCAATAGCATTAACAAAAAACAAATAGGAAAAGATACATCAAGTGAAAACATATATATATATATATCGAATGTTTAATTTCAAACATAAATTTTGAACAAGCATCTAAATACAAAGGGACAATACCCAATTCAAGATGGTGCTACAGGTCCACAAGGCCTTCCTTCAGATATATGCTGACCAACATGCTGATTAATTGAAGTACATAAGATAAAAATACTTTTACTATCCAATTTGTTAACATATCTACCATCATCATCATCCTTACCTTAATTCCATCCACATGAATTCTCTTACTCCAGCTAACATATCTACCAACATGCCCCAGATCTAACATCACAGCAAATACTCGAGCATGGTGACTCCATACTGAACCCCAATCAAAGACTTATCATTTGAGCTCGAGATGTGAGACACAACGTGCACGTTTCTTCTCAAGTGCCTCTAACTTTGTTGATAGTGTCTCTATCATTATTTTTATTGCCACTATCTCTTCATCTAGATTAGCAAGGGTGGAGAATGTACAATCACTTTCCTCATCTTCATCTTCACCCTTTTTTGTACTTTTCACACTGCAGCATTCTTCAACCACCACATCAGAGCGGCCAAGAATAGTCACATATGAATTTGTGTTTGCGCCCACATCTATGTCTTCATCCTTTTTCATACTTTTCACAGTGCAGTCTTCTTTAACCTCATTCGAGATGTCAAGAACGGTCATAGATGACTTTGTACCCAGTGAAGGTATACTTCCTAAGAAACATCAATGAGTCAAGACATAATTCCGCATTTACATATATGACTCTATGAAGCAATTAATTCAATACTATAGTACTTTATTGCATAGGAATCTCTTGATTAAGTAATATACTAATATATAATGTTAAAAATAGGGTTGTCAAAATTTTAGCGTTTTTCTCTTTTCTTCATTAGATAAGCATTGTTCTCTTTTGAAAATTTCTTAAGTTCCCATCAAGACAGGGAAACAAAAAAATTTAGTCTTGAATATATTCTAAGAGCTCTTCACTCTCAGGAAATTCAAAACATAAAATCAAACTATATTAAACAGTTGTGTTGAAAGGATTCATATATTCTGTTGTCACAAATTCATGGTCTGGGAGCAGGAAAAAATTGGAGTACCTCTGTCTCATAATGAAATAGAATGCATGCCAAACTGACAATTTCTTTTTCTCCTAGTTTGGAAACAGTTAGATAAAATCTCACATTTTTCTCACATTATTCAAAACAATAATCTGTATGAATATGTGGTTATAGGCACAACTCCTGTTAGAAGATTAAACAAAAATTGCCAATTATTCGTATTACATAAGATATTGTTTCCCTCCTTTTTAACATTCAGTTCCATTATATCATGAATAAATCAAGGTCAGTACTGGTTTGGTATCAAAGAGTCGAGGTTATTTAACTCTTCTCGTAAGGATTTGGGCTGTTTGTGAATTCTTTTAGCTAAACAAGATGCTTATAATTATTATAGATTAGTGCAATTCGAAAAATCTTGTCTTGCTCCGTAGAAGCCACTAACTTTAAAATACAAGAATAAGAAATAAGCCACTTCTAAGAGAATATATATATATATATATATATATATATTTATGCATGTACAAACATTGAAACAAACACTAGTAGATATGCCTATATTTTTTTATGGAATAAATTAGCCATCTTATACCATACAGTACCAAAATCAGAGAAGTTAATAGAGAAATTTAACAAAAATAATTCAAACTTAGTTCTCTTGGGATTTGGCAAGTCTACCTTAGCTAAACACCCTCCACACTTTAAGAAATTAGTAAGAAGGCTTTCTACCATTTCACAATTCACAAGGAGTGCTGTCTGATTTTTTGAAAAGTATCTATTTAGAACATAACAGGACAAAAGTAATGCCTCACCCCCAAAGGTTTAAATGTTTCCAAGATTTAATTAACATTGTATTAACAATATCTAGTAGTATTTGATTTTTCCTTTCTGCTACAACATTTTTACTCTTTTTTTCAAATTTATTTTCTACTACTGCTTTGAATATTGTAAATTTGTTTAAAGCTTCATCTTTTGTTCATAATAACTATGCTAGGCAAAAATGAGTACAATAGGTAATAAATATTTTCTTTCCTACTCATGTTTGTATATTTTTAAGATCACATAAGTCACTCTATGAATAAATTGCAAAGGTTCCGTTGATCTATAAAATATTTGATTCCTTTATCATCCAAACCACTAACCAATTCATTCACGCATGCATTTCTATTCTCCGCCACGACATTATCTTTAACCTTTTCCTTTATCTATGGTTCTAATTCCATTCCTAAGAGAAGAGTTCTTTGGTCTAATCTCTCTAATGACTCTACTGTCCATTCCAGCACACCTTGGCTCTCTCTTTGTGACTACAATTAAATTATTGATATCAATGAGAGGCATGCCTTCAAGTTGCTGAATTAGAAGACCTCAGGTTCAATGCAATTTTCCATACTTGGAATAACAGAAGTCATGGACCAGCATTCATTGGTAGGAAATTAGATAGAGGCCTTGTCAACCGTGAATGTAAATCCTCCTTCCTCTTTCTGAATGCACCTTTTTGCCATAGGGATTCCAGATCACAGCCCTATCATTGTAAAACTAGGTAACCCCAGCCTAAGAAGAGCCACTCCTTTTAGGTTCTTCAATGTTTGGTGCAACCACCCTCAGCCGACAAAGTTTGGAAAACGTACATCAAAGGCACATTTATGTTTCAACTCTCCCAAAAGCTCAAACTTTTGAAACATGTGCTGACCTCTTCATCACGGTTTCCTCAACCAAGCATGAACTTGACATATACCAAGCTATCAGAATATCAGCTCCACCACATCACTTGGTAGATGTACATTGATTTCTTTCATTCAAAGTTGTTGTTACTTGCTTCCTCAAATCAAGTAGTTGACCATGAATATCTCAACTAGTTATTGACCATGAACATCTCAACTTGTTATTTGTTTTCCTTAGATAGAGGACCTAACTGAGAGATACTCTCTTGTAAAGTCTATATATACCCTCTTGTAACACATTGAATTCATATCAGATTTCTCCCAATACTTCTCTGTTAGTGTTGTTTATTATGGTTTTAGAGCACCTCTACTCACTACTCTGAATTTTCTATCAATCTGTCTTTTCTTCATTCTTCAATTCATTCACAATGGTTGATACAACATATATTCTGATAAAGGCCTCTTCCTTACCCAACGCAAATATACCACCGACATTTTATCCGATATAAGAACTACAGGTGGTTGGATTTCTGAATTCCCTATGGAATAACATCTCAATCTCGCTACAGAGGCTGGCACATTATTACTAGACCCTACAATTTACCGTCACCTTGTGGGTCGTCTTCTTTATCTTACTGTCACACGACTGGATATCACTTATGTCGTCAACCAACTCAGCCAATTCATGCAATCCCCATTTACTTCTACACACATGGATGCTGCTAATCGTGTACTTCGTTACCTCAAAGGTTCTCTCAACAAAGGTATACTACTATCAACTTCTAGCTCTCTCCACATCACAGGTTTTTGCGATTCTGACTCGGGCAGCTGCTCCACCACTCGCCAATCTGCTAGTGGTTATTGCACTTTCCTTGATTCTAGCCCTATCTCAATCGTGGAAGACAAAGAAACAACCAACTGTATCTAAATCTTATGAAGAACTCGAATACAGATCAATGACAACCCTTGCATGTGAACTTCAATGGTTAAACTATCTTCTTGAAGATTTGGGCATTTCACATACATCTCCGATGACCATGTTTTGTGACAATCAAGAAGCTCTTTACATCTCTCGCAATCCAGTGTTTCATGAATGCACAAAGCACGTCGAGATCGACTGTCATTTCGTGTGTGAATATGTAAAACAAATTATTGTCTCCTCGATACAGCCCCTCGTCGTCTCAAGTTGCCGATATATATTCACCAAGCCACTTGGAAAGGATGCTTTTTCAAGACTCATTCGCAAGATGGGCGTTCTCGACATCCACGCTCCATCTTGAGGGGGAGTATCAGAATATCAGCTCCACCACATCATTTGCTACTTGTACATAGATTTCTTTCATTCAAAATTGCTGTTACTTGCTTCCTCAAATCAAGTAGTTACCATGAATATCTCAACTATTTATTGACCATGAATATCTCAACTTGTTATCTGTTTCCTTAGATAGAGAACCTCACTGAGAGATACTCTCTCGTAAAGTCTATATATACCCTCTTGTAACACAATGAATTCATATCAGATTTCTCCCAATACTTCTCTGTTAGTGTTGTTTATTACAGGCTCAACCGGACTATAATCCCACTGACTCTTCCTTAAGATAGAAGGAGAAAATTAGTGCCTACACCCAGTAATTGCTGTTAATGTTGTAATCAGTGGCTTTTTTCCCTGAAATATTCCAGACGTTGATAATGTACATGAGTTACAGCTTGGGCTGAAGCAAACTTTCCAAAGGCCCCCCAAAAAATATACAAATCAGTTCTAGAGAAGGATAATGATGCCGTGCAAGATAAATCTTTAAGAGTGACTTTTCTTTTTCTTTTTTTAATTTTGGAATGTTAAGCAAATTTTATATAAAGAGAAACATAATTACATTGTTTAGCATGGGCCAAAGCTGGCCCAAATCCGAAGAAACCCAAACAACCAGGTAACATGAGCCACAACCTTAAGCCCACTTATTGTGAGGCCTAGTAACCCTAGCAATCCTCCACCAAAAGAACAAGGTGAGAGGGAGGCAGCAGCCAACAACGATGGAATATTTCACCAAAGAACAGATGAGAGGAGGCAGACAACAGCGATGGAAACTACCACATGCTTGTCGGCAACCAGAAAAAAGAAAAGAAAGATGCCTCTCATATATCATCATCACTTAGTCCGGTGGTTTAGGTGGCGGCTGAGATGCAGCGAAGCCATTTTCCCATTCCTTCATAGCCAGGTGAGCCTCCAATCGTGTCCCTTTGCAAGATGCTTTCTTATTTTGTGTCCCAACCATCAAAAGAAGGAACCAGCCAACAAAAAAAGGTCTCAAACAAGAAATCAAGTAGAATCGATGAAATCGCATAGAATCGTGCGATTCTACGATTCTACCAACGATTCTACCGATTCTACTCCGATTCTACCAATTGAACGATTTTGTTAAGATTTGGATCGATTTTGAGTTCTGAATCGTAGAATCTTGCGATTCTACGACTCAGAATCGCGATTTTGATAACTATGATCTCTCGTCCCCCAATGTCAAAATCCCACCTCCCTTCATGACTATAGGCCTATCTTTTGTTGGAACCTTGTATACAAGTGAATTTCCAAGTTCATGTGAGAAAATTCAGCTTGTGTTTCCCCACACCAATGATCACACTCAGACTACCTTTGTCCAAGGCAGAAGGATAAGCCACAACATCTTGCTTTCTCATGAACTTCTCAATGGATACCACAAACAATCTAATTCACTTAGGCTTGCTATGAAAGTTGACCTAAAACCTTTGACTCCATTGGGTGGGAATTTATCCTTGACTCTCTCTCTCTCTCTTAGGGTTCCCTATTTCTCGTCTCTTGGACCAAAGCTTGTCTATCAATGGAGAATTTAATGGTTACTTCAAGGGAGTGAAGAGTATTATCCCCATTCTCGTTTGTCATTGCAATGGATGTCTTCTCCTTAATTAATCACTAATGTTCCCATTTGGTCCTCTTCACCTAGTGGAAAGAATTACAACAAGAATTGGGTATTGGGCAAGTAACCATCTGTCATATGCAGGGATACTGGAACTGATTAAGTCCATTTTAGTGATCACTCATCTCTTTTGGTTCAACATTTATATAATTTCTTAAAATTTTTACCAATGATCTCAATTCTACGTTCGGAAGATTATGTGGTCGGGGACAGAAATGAAAAGGCATGGAGCAAAAATTTCTTGGGATACATATAGGATATTGTTGAAAAATGTGTCTCAAATTTCTATTCTAATTAAGTTTCTACTTTAGAGTTGTATAAATATAATGGAATACAACATAATGAAGAGCGCTTAGTTCTCGCTTATGTGCTCTATTTTGAAACTCACCGGATAAGAATAGTTTTAGCCGTTTTAACAGCTATTTTATTACCTTTGGACTTCTTCCTTGTATTTTTGTTCTTGGGCTATCTCCCGTGTTGGGCCTCTTCATTTTCCTTTCTTGGGCTTGTGTTTTATAAGCCCATGCATCTTTGTACAGTTTATCTTATTTTTATATATTTGCTAAAATAATAATAATAATAATAATAATAATAATAAAACTGATATATTAATAACGTGTAAAAGAAATGAAAATAAATATGATGTTTCATTCGTTACCAAATATTGATAAAAATTAATCTCAACACCCTATTTTTTCTAGAAAATTTCTAAAATATTATGAAAGAAGGACGGGAAGATTGCGTAATATTTGATTCAAATAGGTGGTGATGACTGAGTTGAGGAGATCATCAAAAGCAAAAATTAAATGCTCAATCAATAATGATTTTCTCATTACAAATTATTTATTTATTTTTATATTATTTATTAAAGTATACTATCTTAACACATGAAAACACCTACAACAACCATTTCTTCCAAATAATTATGTTAGATATTACTCACACTCCATATGCCCAACAACAAACATGATAAAATTTTTCTATTACAAGTGAGTATAAAACAACTTACCAATTTGGTAGCCACCAATGTGCTTTGGATGGCCCTCCTTAAGTTCATCCAACTTTGTTGTTAGTGTCTTTAATTTATTTGTCAGTGCGTTTTCCTCTTTTTCATGCATTGAAATTTTTGCATCTAGTATGGCAGTGTTGCGGTCCCCTTTTTCTAACCCTACATCATTCTTATCATTAAGCATATTAATCACACCATATGCTCAAAATAAAAATGATAACTTAATCCTAATACAACCTAGTGTAAAACAACTTACAAATTTTGTATTCATTGGCCCGTCTCTCCTTAATTTCATCCACTTTTGATATTAATGAGTCAACCTTTGCTTGAAGATTTACAATCTCTTCATCTAGTGCCAAGGGCCACTCCATCCCTAGTAAAAAAAGAATCTGACAAGCAACCGATAATTAAAGAGTTTGACTAGCACATTGTTAATGTAACCAAAATAAATAAATAAATAAATAAAAAAATTTGCATAAGACACATAAAAATCATCTTTAGAGTATGAATGTAAATAAATATAATGGGATACTATTTAATGACTTTTCATCCACCACAAGCTTTTTTTTGGAGTATATCATCTCTACATTTTGTTAATATTAAATAGCATATGCCATATAGGTTGAGTACTTTTGTAAATCATTCACATATTTGGCATATTAGGGATACTTATGTAAATTTCTTATTACAATGTATTTAAAAATAAAATAAAAAGGCAAATTGAAAACAAATTGTAGAAGTGTTCAACAATTAAATCATGTAAAAACCTACCTGAAAAAAATGCAAAATAAAAAACCGAACAACTAAATGTTTTTAGCATTTGGATTTTGGAAAAAGGAAAGAAAAGATAATTAGATGAAATTTTATTTATGCGTTTGGAATAATTAGGAATTTAGGAACTAAAAGAGAAACAGAGTGGACATATTATCGCTAATTTTCATGAGATTTTTAAGAAGTATTTACTGACAGACAATATTATAAATTCCATTTTAAAACCCATCAAAATTTTTTTTCCCGTAAATAAAATTTTAAAACCATCAAAATTCTGTTGTTCACAAAACAACCTTGGGTATGTAAAGAACAAAAATTAGAGTACAAAAAAATCTTATGAAATAAAATAGTAAGCAATCCAGGTCTCATCTACTACTTGAAAATTGGCATACCTCATGGAATGCGCAGCTAGTATGAGCAACATAGTGGCAATCCTTGCAATAATAAGTTGGCTCCCACAGGTTTCTTAATTCCTCGCAAACATCACAGTAATATTCGGAGTCCTCATCATCATCTGAATGGTCTTTAACGAGAGAATAAGTGAGGGAGAGAGAATGTCGGTGATTGCTGTGTTTAAATTTATGTGGTAACATTGTAAGACAACATAACTTAATACTAAAATCGCATGGCACACAACGGAGAATCGGAAAACCCGTAAAATTTTCACAAATGTTGCAATTAACTAAGCTATCCGTTTTTCTTTTTGTAAATTTAGGATCGTTGAAGATAGCAAGAGGGTGCTTGTGAATTTCAAATTTAAGAGTGGAGTAGGTTAGCGAAGCACATGTGACATCCATCTCAAAGTCACACTTGCCACACCAGTACTTGAAGCCCAAAATAGAACATTTACATGCCTTGCATTGGTAATGGATGTACCAATATTCGTAATGGAGCTCAAGAGGATGTGGTGGATGAAAGGGGTGTTTGATCTGCAGTGGCAATTCAGCGCACGATTTGTGCAGCAAAAAATTGCATTGAAGACAAACATAGACTGTACCCTCGATGCAGAGCCCACAGGCGGAACATGAAAAACTAAAAATTCCTTTGGAATTATCACATGGAATCAAATCATGCGGGTGGGTGAATAGTGCCTGAACAACCTGGTGGTTTTCTAAACTTTGATCATCATAGTTTTCTATTATGGCTTTGGGCATTAGAGAAGCGTACCTTACGTCCAGACGAAAGTTACACTCTTTACAGTTGTATGCATAATCCCCATAAGACTCTTCGAGAGTGAGAGTATGTTGAGGGTGCAAGTGATGTGTGATCTGGTGTGGGAGTTGTATACATGATTCATCCATGATAGCATGGCAATCTAAACAAGCATAGATGGTGCCCTTGATGTGTTGCTTGCACACAGAGCACACAAAATCAAGCTGCTTGTTCTTCCTATAACAAGGAATCAGGGGATGAGGTTTGTTGCTAAACGACCTAAGCAAGCATAGATGCGGCGTTTGTTGCTCACTTGTCTTGTAGTTGTTGGTGGTGGGCATCAGAGTAGCGCAATTAAGGTGCAGGTCAAATTGACATTCAGAACAATGGAAAATGAAGCCGTCACATCTCATCCCGCAGGGATTGCAGTAAGGTACCGAATGACCATAAGGCGGTTGATGATCAGGATCCCTAGATTCTTCGTAAGGTGTTTGAGCGAAAAGAGTGAGGGGATGTTTGGTGTGAAAGGGGTGCCGTATCTCTGGCGCCAATCCAACACATGATTTGCAAACGTAATGTTTGCATTTTGTGCAACCATAGAAATCACCCGAGATTTTGTTTTCGCAACCATTGCAAGTCATTTGATCCCCTTCTTTACGTTTCTGTTGGTCGAGTCTCAAGTAATGCCAATGGCTGAAATGTATAATCTGCTTCTCCATCTCTGTTTCTTTGATTCGAAGAGAATTGAATGGTAATTACTATGGGAAGCCAACTCTGAACAGACCACTAGTAAGCTGAAGCCCAATTGCAATCGGAGACATACAGTAATCTGAAGTATTGTGGATAAGGCTACTATGTGCTGTCACTTTTTTATTGGGCACTGGAATTACATCTATCATTTTATCAGCTGAAATGGGATCACACCAAGTTTTTTTTTTTTAAAAAAAAAAACCATGGGATGACACTAGTAACCAGGACGCCGTATACCTCGAGGGCAAAAATATAATTTTATTTTTCTGTCAACATTTGGTTCAGAGAGTTCCTTTAAGGCCCTCTTTGATGATATTTCCATAACCTTGATTGATCTGTGAATGGATACCAAATTTGCACAAAATGTTGATACTAAGAAGGGTGTTAGAGCAAGGTCAACCAAATCTTTGGAAAGGCTTGAGCTCATCTTTTTACTAGTTTAATCTAAGACCAATAAAAGTAAACTTAGAGGGGGTGTCAGAACATTATCTCATAATTAATTTTTAAAATAAGGCGAACAAAATTTTAGTATTTTTCTCTTTCTTCTTTTTCAATTTTTATTTTATAATTAAGTGTTTTCCTCTTTTCTTTATTTGATAAGTGCGTGGTTCTCTTTTGACTTTTTTCATACACACTGATGATTTATAAATTAAATCTGAATTTATTAGTCTTTGTAAGAAAGAATAATTAAGATGCCGCAGATCAATAGATTCAATAATATAAGTAGAAAGACATATCATTAAATAATTCAAAACCTATAATTAATTAGTTTGAAAAGGCGCTCACAAATAGTTTTTTCCTACAAACCTTCCATTTTTTGTAAGCAAATTTAATTTCCTTCTTACCAGACAAAGATCTAAAAACTAAAATTTCCCAAAATTCAAGCACATGCAAAAACTCTTTAATTTATTATTATTATTATTATTTGGATTTTTTATATTCTTATGAAAATTCCATTTAGACTTTTGGTTGTTTCAATAACTGTTTGGTCATTGTCATAACCTATTGTTTCTTTTTGAGTAATTTACATAAACCTTCTTTATAACTTGTTATAATTACAAGGACCTTCTCTCGGATTTGTAAATTTTATCATCAGGTAAAATTTGTTGCCATGAATATATTAAATGCTCTCTGCATTTTGTTTAATTTTCTTTCTCTAAATTTTCTCTCTTCAGGTTTTATGCTGCGGAATTGGTAATTTCTAGAGATTTTCTCTAAATTAATCGCTTCCAGCTTTATTTATATGATTAATTCAATTTGCATCATTATTCATTGTTGATCTGGATTCAAACTTTAACTGTCAATTTGTCAATTTTGGAATTGATTTATGTAGATATAATTGCAAAGATTTGACCTTTTTTCTGCAGGATACCATCTGACCATGGGATGCCTTTGCATGGTCAAAGGCAGATGAGTTCATTGGTGGTGGTTGAAGTTCATAACGATCTTCTCAAACAAATGCAGCCCTGAAGAGTTGCTTGGTCATTTTAGAAGACTCACACGGGCGCGTGACAAGTTTTTGCATTCTACCTTCCAAAAAAAAAAAAAAAAAAAATTTTTTTTCATTCTAGAACTTTCCATTTGTTTTTCAAATTGTATTGATATGCTTCAAGTTGAGCTAGTTTGTGACATTACATGTTCCTGGATTACATCCAATGAGAAATCCTCGAATTTTTTCTGAAATCCAATTTACTGTGTTTTAGATACTCATTTGAAGTCTTCTTGTTACTAATAAAAATAGAATGAGAAATCCTCAATTTTTTTTTCTGAAATCCAATTTACTTTGTTTTAGATAACCAATAATATGCTCGTCGATTTCGATCTATCAACCAAACTCCCACCAAAATCTCCCGAACTTAGCTCATTTGCCGATAGTTAAAACAATCGCGAAATCGGTCCTAATTAAGAAGAAGCGATTTTCGTCGTTCCACAGGTGTTGCAACTCGGGCATTTTGCCAGAAGACTCGGCGCCTCCGCCGGAGATCGGTGTCAACTCCGCGAGTTTCGAGTCGGACTCGGCTGCAAAGTTGAAATCGTTCATCGGAATGGAGGACTACGTGGCACCGAAGATCATACTAGGGAAGGTCCACAACTTCGCTGTGGACTGTTGGTGCTTGGGCGTTATACTAAACAAGATGTTGTACGGAACGACACAGTTCCGGGGGTTGAACAGGAAAGAAACGTTCCACCGGATATTGAAGAAGTTGCCGGTTACATATGTGTATTATATATATATATCTTTTACCTATAATATGTAATTATATAGCCAAGGATATTTTAGGAATTTTAGTAAAATTAGTAGATGACGTCATTAATTTTCATCGTTGACTGATGTTGACTCTAACATCGTTGACTGACGTTGACTCTAACAAAAGGGAGGTCCGTGTAGGATATTTTCTTACGTACGGGAGGTCCGAATAAATTCTCAAACCCGAAGAAAGGTCCTTGTAATTATGGCAAACCATAAAAAAGGTTTGTGTAAATTACCCTTTCTTCTTCGTGTTTCTATTATCTTCCTCAATCCTACGCCACCAATTCTCAACAAGGATATTATCTGAAGTTATTTTTCTAAAGTTAGTTTAGTTGACACTTTATCATGTTAAAAATTCAAAAACTGTCCCACTACCAATTTTTTTGTCCCCGCAACTGCAGTTCTATATAATTTTTTTTTCCTAATTTCCCATTATTCCCTTGCAGTATCAATATTTGCAGAAACATCATCTAAAGATTTCTCTAAATAAATTCAAGATATAATTCCTACATAGATAATGGAATTTATCCCATAAAACCAATGAACTATTTTGACCATGATCACTAATGATAGAATTTTCAAATAAAATATGCGTAATTATTAAAGTAGTAAGATAAAAAAATATTTTTTGTCAACAGGTTGAAGTTTTGCCAATTATATTTGTCAAGCTTTTAAATATTGTTTAAAATTGAATTACTTATGGTGTGAAATTATAATAAAAAATAATCTAATAGGTAGTATAATATTTGAATTTGAAAGTAACTGTTGCTCCATACATCTATAAATAGCATGGGCCTTGTGCAAAAGATCCACAACCCAACAAGATTTTATTCTTTACAATTTACTTAGTTTATCTTTTGCATTGTACTTCTTTTCTTAGAAGCTTTACTTAGTCTTTCCTTTACATTGTACTTATTTTCTTATGAGTAGTATTAGAATCTAACATTTCTTATACTTTGTATGAGAATCCTACTTATGAAATAAAAATAAGACGCTTGGCTTTAGTCCTTTCTACTTTTATTTTCTAAGTTTCTTGGAACAGATGAACGCTTGTGCAGTTAGTGTTGCTCCTTTCATCCATTTCAGCCCTTATTTTATTAAAGTCCTCTTCATTAAGGCACCGAAGAACCTGAGGAAGGGGTCACCCTTGCCTTTCAGCAGTCACCTGATTCACAAATGGCCGATTCCAGATTCGGTTACCCCTTGAGTCAAAAGACTCTGGCATGCCCCTAAAAAAAAAAGAGCCAAACAATAGTTAAACCATAATGTATAAAAGGGTGTGTGAAAAAGCTATGTAAATTAGAAGGTCAATGTATATTTGGACTATGTCATGCAAGTTTCTGTCAACAACTCTCTGTCAATAAGGTGACTAAAATATAAGAATTTAGGAACTCCTAAAATGCATGTACTTAAGTGTGTTGTTGAAATAAAGGGTTACTAGAAGCCCTCGGTCCTGTTCTGGGTTGAGGTTGGTCACGTTATCAATAAGATCACATTACAATTGAGCATCATTACTAGATTGAAAATGCCTAAGAATGAAATATGTGGTCCATGTCAATTAGGAAAATAAAATAGAGTGTCATAAAGAAACTTATTCATAAAGTCACTTCTTGACCTTTAGAATTGATTCATATGGATTTGTTGGGTCACATAACACCTGATAGCGTTGGAGGAAAATGATATTTGCTTGTTACGGTTGATGATTTTTCTAAATTTACTTTGGTTGCATATTTGTGTGAAAAATCAGATAATTTTGTGAATTTCAGGTATATTTGCCAACTAATTCAAAATGAGAAGGGATATCGAATTAGGAGCGATAATGGAGGTGAATTCGAACCTAAGGACTTTATTGAATATTATGATAAGTTTGGCATTAAGCATGAATTTTCTACACCTAAAACAACACAACAGAATGGTGTAGTGGAAAGGTAAAATAGGACAATAGTAGGTATGGCTCGTACTATGCTTCATGAGAATAAAATTGCTAGTTATTTTGGGGCTGAATCAGTACGTACTGCTTGTCATATCATAAATAGAATTTATCTTAGGCTTGTGATGAGCATTGAATATTACATCTTTGAGCCCCTAAACTTGCGTATGTTAAGACCTTAAGTAGTACTTCTATCTTGTTTTAGACTAATTTGTGTTTATTTCATGTTTGTAGGTACTTTCCCAAAGAAATGGTTAAAACTAGGATTTTATGATGAAAAGATTGATATCAAAGCTTACAGAGTCGTTGTTGATCATTTGAAGCAAGCTTGGAATCAAAATGGTGATTTTGGAGAAGTTCAAGTGCCAAAGCTCGAGTATAAGTTCCACAGCTCGAGCACAAAGTCAACTGAAGCAAGAAAAGCAACCAAGGCCAAAAGGCTCAAGCAGAGACTCAAGGTGCTCGAGCCTTTGCAAAAGGGCTTGAGCAGAAAATGCTTCGGAATATAAAAAGACACTTCGGAAGTTTCATGTTGTCAGACCTGGAGCAGAAGTCAAAAAGCTCAAGCAGAAACCAAAAAGCTTGTGCAGAAGTCTCAAGGCTCGAGCACCCAAGCAAGATGATCGAGCACTATGAAGAAATATCCCAAAAATATTCCAAGTGTTGATGAAAAGGACGCTTCAGAAAAAAATTTAAGAAAATTGACAAAGTATGGAATTCCTACTCGAGCACAGTCCAAAAGGCTAGAGCACATGTCAAAAAGCTCGAGCAAAAGCTTCTCTACTTGAGCCTTTGCTGTTAAGTCAGAATTCTAAGTTGCGGGATTTATTCTAATTAAGTCATAATTCATCCCAAACGGGCCCAGATGACCCCAAAAGACTTAAAGCACATCCAATCCTTATTAGAAGTCAATTCCTTCTAAAAAAGGATGCACAAGGCCACATAAAAGCTCTTTTGATTCTCTCGTTTTAGTTTTCATTATTCTAGATCTAGTGGCGGCTTTTAGGGTTTTTGGTAGTTGTTTTGAAGCACTGAAGGTGAAGATCCTCAAAAGAGAAGTGCAGTCCATGATGATGAAGATCACAATAACACAGATGATATCTCGCGTCGTTATGAGTTGCTAAATCTCCTTTTAGGGCATTGATGTAACCCGAATCCGAGTATTGTGGTTTGAATGTTCTAACTTTGGGAATTTAACTATTTATGTATCTTGATTGCATGATTATAAGTAATTGACTTAGATCAATTGGGTTTTAATGAATTAAATAGTTTTTGAATGATTAATACATTGTCTTAGATTTAATTGTTCTTAAATTATATTCAACCTATTCTTAATTTACAAGATTGGTGGCTAAGGGCTTCTCGGACAAAAAGAATAGAGATTATGCAATGGTGTTCCAACGTTTTTCATGAATGAATGTTTTCATAGTCTATACCTAGGGAAGACGAGCTATACTACAACATTAGTTAGAAGTAGGTTGATAGATAATTCGTGCCAACCGAAGATAGGTTATTGTTAGTTGAAATTCATGAAACATCTTTCTTTAAACCTGAATTAAATTAATGTTATTGAGTTTAATTCTAAATTATACATAATTGTTGAAATCCCAAGGTTGAACAGTTGACTATAGTATGAGGTTCGTGGTGAAGTCAATCACTAAGATCTTTTCTCTCTAATCTTAATCCCTTTACTTTATTCAATTTAATTTTGGTTAATTTCACTGACATCCCTTCAGGTTTGGCCAAATATCATCCTCAAAGATCTTTTAAAAATAACTATCACTTAGGTCCATTTTCACTTTTCTGTCACAATTACCGTTAAATATATATAAAAGACAATTTATCCCTAATTACCCTTAGTGCAGTGACCGATATCCAATGCTAATGGGATTTCCTATTAATAACTTGATACGTGACATGACTTTATAACTCAAGCTGTAGTATATATGTATCATCAAATTCATCATAACAAAGTAAGCTTTTGCTCACGGAGTTTTAAATAATCTGGGGAAAAAAGAGGGAAGAATGGAAGATATCTCCCACGAAAATCAGTTCTGATAGACAGAAGCTGAATGTTTACCTTAACAAACAAGCTCTTACTGCCCAATTTTAGGGATTTGAGATAGAATTATGTAGAATGAAAACCACAACAGAAAAAAAATCCCCTAATTAGTGCTCGTCCAAGGATATTTATATATATATAGTGGTTGTTCATTCCTTCCTCAAATATATGAAAGTTGTATATTTATGGGTTGGAACAAAAAGACTTCTGGACATGGAACTACTAAAATTGATGAATGCTGAAAAGTGCGCATTTAAACTCCTTAAGCGAGGGTATTTTAGTCCATTCATCTATCTTTATTTACCTGTTTTAGTATTTATTTGTATTTTTGTCTATTTCATGTCAATAATGTTAAAATGAGCTAAAAATGGTTTCTTAAGACCTTTTTGGAGTGAGACTAAGTGTTGGTGAGAATCTGGAGCGAAAAGAGGCTGATGCTGAAAAACTGCCAAGATGGATCGATTGAACCCAAATCGATCGAAAGTTGGATCGATTGAACCCAAATCGATCAAAGAAAAGTGAGATCGATCGAACTCTGATCGATTGAACTTTTCTCTAATCGATCGAATTGTTCTCGAAAGTTATTAAAAAGCAGATCTGAATCTCATTTCGAACCAACTTGGGCAGAGCTTGAAAGGGAAGATCATAGGGCCGAGTTCTCACATATTTGGGCTCTCAAAGCCTTGTATATAAGTGGAATTCATCCATTTTTGTAGAGAGATATATTTTCGCATTGTGATTTCTATATTGTTGTAGCTTTCTCTCTCTAGAAAATTAGAGATTAGGGTTAAAAGAGAAGAGGGAAGTGAAGCACATCTCAAGAACACATCTCTAGATCCATTCACACACACTCTCTCTCTAGAGCTTCAAAAAAGAAGAAGAAGAAGATGGAGCCATGTTTGGAGCTTTCACTTGAGGGTTTCATGACCACATCCACCTCTTCCATGATTGACTAGATCTACACTTAAGGTTTGGATGAGCCCTAAGTCTTGTGTAATCTAAACCCTTGTATTTCTATTTTTGGGGATTTATATATATATTGTTGTGATTAGTGCTTAGCCTTGTGATTGTTGATTTAATTCTTCCTTATGATTCTATATTTTAATTACATGTTGTCTTATGTGTGATTATTTGGGGAATTGATCTCTACACTAGATTCTCTATGTTGGTTGCATGTCTATGTGTAATTAATTAAGGATTTAGTGATGGCTAAGCATGGGTTTTCATTGAATGGGCTTGTCAATTAATTTGATGGATTATACTTATGCTTGATGGGTTGTTTTACAATTTAATTCATGCTTGTAGGTAGGTAGACAATCTATACTTGATTTGATATTCCATGGCTTATTATTGTAAATTCCATGATTCTCTAGATTGATGTGTGCTACAATTGTGATTAGTTTGATGGGTTATGCTTAGATTTGATGAATTGTTCTACACTTAGTTTATTTGTTGGTTAGGTAGACAATTCATACATGAATTTGATGGTCCATGCTTAATATTGCAATTGGTAGTCGCATTTTGTTCACAACAATGTATTTCCTATTAATGAAAAGCAAGTGGTTAATTACATGAGTTTAGTAGTGATTCCAACACCCTAAGACCTTTCTTCATATCTCTTAAATCCCTATCTCTCACTAGTTTACTTTAATTGCATTTTAATTTCCTTGCATCTTAGTTTAATCAACCAATCTCTATCTTTTGCAATCAATTGATACATTAGAGTTGAAGTGAAATTCCAACACGTATAATCTCCATGGATGATCCCTACTCGCTATACTTCATTAGTTGTAGTAGTGGTTTTATAAATGTAAATTTGATTAGAAAGGCTTCCGAAACCACAATCTTATTTTGACCTTGCGAAGCAACCTCTCGCATTAAAAAATTCACTTTTTAAACACTTGGAAAGGCGCTCGTCAAATTTTGGCGCCGTTACCGAGGATTCAAATTGGCAACGCTGTGTTTTGGAAACAAATAGGAATTAGCACTCTTTTATCGTGTCTTTACTTTATTTTCTTTTTTGTTACTTATTGTGTTTGTTCATATTTGATTAGGTGCATTGAGCAAGGAAGTTGAGTAAAGGAGAATTGAAAGCAAGGACGCCAAACGAAGCTAAGCAAAAACTAAAAGGAGCTAAAATTTAAAAATTTGCAAAGCACAACAAGGCTTGAAAATTGAAAATGAATTGAAGTTGCATAAGGACCCTTTGTGAGATCTTTCTAACTCAATCTCTAGTTAAATCGTTGGCCCGTGTGGTTGATGAGCTCTGAAAAGTGCACGTTTAAACCCCTTAAGCTTGAGTATTGTAGGACTTTTATCTATCTTATTCCCCTGTTTTATTTTAATTTCATGTTATTGCTCTTTTTAGGTGCTTATCCCAAAAATAAGTCAATTCAGCCAAATAAGAGCATTAAAGAAGTTAACTTAAGCTGAATTGAAGAAAGGAGTAAAGTGGGAGCAAAATGAAGTAAAGTGTGGAAATTCAGCATGTTCGATCGATTAAAAGTTCATCGATCTAAACAGTTCAAGATGGATCCAAGCCTTTGTCCTTATCCAAAAGAATCCAACAAGTTCGATCGATCCAACATTTCCTAAATCGATCGAAAAGATTCGATCTTATCCACACCTACCACCCACCTACCACTTTTATCTTCTTCCCAAAAATATTCTAAAATATCTCAGAGATTTGTCTTTATTCAAAAAGGCGCTGCCAAGGATGATCGATCTCTGCAGCATTTGATGGATCTCAGCCAAGTTCGATGGATTTCAGCCAAGTTCCAGCTCATTAAAAGTTGGCTCATGGTGCAATCATTGGAGGGACCTTGATGCACGAATCCTAATGATGGCAACAGGGCGGGTTTGGAACGGGTTTCCCTAAATCCTGCCCCGCCCCATTTAATTTTTGTCAAATCCATGCCTGCCCCACGACCCACGACGGGTTCGATTATTATGCCCAGCCCCGCCCCGTTGGAAAATATTGTGCCCCGTGCCCGCCCCGCTAACAAATTTTTTTCTCCCACTTTTTGGGACTTAAGGTGCTGCTATTTAAATATGGAAAGACTAGAAATGGCATAACATAAATGAAATTATGAATCCCAACAAAAATACAAAAAAATAACATGCACATAACATAATTCAGAGAATATAATCAACAAAAATAAGGGTTTAATACAACCAAATCACAAGAAGTTCTAAGATCCAACTTCCACCATAACCAAAGAAAAAGTAAATTTAATACCAAATTTACATCCCAAATAAGTTATTAATATATATATATATATATATATATATATATATATATATATATAATCTAGTTACATGCTTAGCAAGGCGAGGCGAGGATAGGCGGGGCGGGCGGGGCCCCGCAGATATGTATACTGAATCCTTACCCACCCCGTGACCCGTAACGGGTACAAAATTTATATCCATGTCCGCCCCAACGGTATAAAAGGTGTTCCCACATCCATTATTAACGGGCAGGACAGGCCGGGGCCCCGACGAGGTAATAAAAATTGACACCCCTAACGAATCCAGACCATTGGTGTGACATTTGACCTACCT